AACAGCTTTTCGAGGTAGGTGTCAAAGAATAAAGGGAGTGATTAGATCATAGCCAGGAGCTTTTTTGTTTGGTAGTCTGTTGATTTCTTTTGGATGAAATGCCAGTGGGGGTAGTGATAAGGGTAGTGGTGTTGTCAATTCTTCTTCTATTGTGTTAGTAAGATTATTGTCTTGTATTGTGTTAGTCCCAAATAGTTGTGCAAAATATTTAGCGAATTCATTGGCTTCGGTTGTTATTGCCCAGGTGTTGTCTGTACGTCGGAGAGGGTATTGAAGGTCTTTTTTCTTTAGTATACATCTTGTTATTGTCTATATTGATCCATAAATCAATCTTGAATGAAAATGAAATCTTATAATGTGACCCATAGTCCAAAAAAAAATTATTTTTCGTAAGTAATGTTTTGAGTTGATCTTAAAGTTTGATAATCCACCCTTATTTAGACCTGAAATTTCGGAACAATAAAATGAGACTTCTTAGTTGTTAATTATATCAATTTCATCTCTGACAACCACAATCCAATCAACTTCTACTATTATTTCATCTGAAGTTCTCAATATTAGACACAATTATAAATTAAGACAATATTTCACATAATATAAAAAATATTATGATATAAAGATTTTAATTTTAATAATGAAGTTTGGAGGCTGAGAGAATATTTAGGATTAACTCCTGAAATAGAAAATGAGGAAGTCAAAAATAAAATAGAGGCAATCTTACTTGATTTTTAAATAAATTAAACTTTATTTACAAAAAACAAGTTATTTTTTTTTACAATAAACTATGATAAAAATTATACTTTTACAGTAGGTAATCTTAAACTACATAACAAATATTTTAAATAAAACATTTAAAAAAAATATATAAATTTAAAACAAAAATAAAGAATAGAAAATAAAACTGAAATAAATATATTAAACTTAATAATGCTAGGTAATTATTGCTGATCTGAATTAGAGAATAATGACAGAAAACTTGTTGAATAATTATAAAATTGAAACTCAGCAAATTTCTTCTACCCTTTCTACCCAAACTTCAACAACATTTCCAACATCATTAATAATTCTTTTCATCTCAAAGAAGAGTTGTCCTCTGACAATTTTATCCTTGTTTCCCTAGACGCTGAAAGCTCATTTACTAACATCCCAATAGACAAAGCCCTTCACATTGTCCAAAAAAACAAGACCATTATTGAACCTTACCTCATATCTCAAATCCCTTGAGCTTTGTTGCAGATCCGGATATCTCACTTTCGAAGGTAAATTCTTTAATTAGATTTCCGGTCTAGCAATAGCAAACTCTTTAGCACCAGATATTTATAACATAGTTCTAAATGACCTCCTAGATTCCATTATCCCTTTTAGCCATCAAGATATCATTTTCATTAAAAAATATGTTGATGACCTTTTCCTTGTTCTTAACCCTGACAGCATCCCTCAAATCCTTTCCTCATTCAACTCTTACCACCTCCGTCTTCATTTCATCATTGAGAAAAAAATTCACTCCCTTTCTTAGACCTTCTAATAATCATAACATTGAACAGTCTAATAATCATAACATAATAATAACACTGACAGGTTTATTTCTACTGACTAATATACCAAAAATGTGTATCAGGCAAACTTTTTTTCTCTACACCCATACCACCGAAAAATGAATACTGCCAAAAAACTAATTCACCGACCTTTCTCTTTATCTGATCCATAATACCATCAAACCAACATTCAGCATGTCAAAAATATACTGATTTCCCATAATTTCCCTCTCAACACCATACTTAAGCTGTTGAACATCTATACAACAAAAAATAGTACAACCTTCCCTTCTCTTAACTCTCTACAATCAACTACCACCCTCATATAAAAAAATCTCTCCTATATTCCTATATTCTATCAGATAACATACAAAAATCGACTATTACCAATTTATATCTTGGCCTTAAGTTCCATAACAAATTCTCTTCCCTTTTCACCAACTTAAGGATCCTATACTTTTACAACTTCGATACATTGTAGTTTACCAAATACCTCGCTCTACTTCTAATTGCAATAGTTCCTATATTAGTGAAACCATGGTATTTCCAGTCTTTTCTTCTGACAGTCTGATCTTTTCAGTACGGCTCATTTTTAGTTACATATTCTTTTAGGTTTCTATATTTTCCTGTTTGTTCTTCTTTGATGGTCTATTTATGTTATCAGCCATTTACACTGACAGGCAAAAAATTCCACCCACTTGATTTTTTCATGTTTTCATCTAAAAATATTTCTGCTTTGGATTGGTCTATAGTTTTTAATGAATAAATAGGTAATCTTTTTGTTTGTTTTCAATTAGGAATGTTAATATAGAGGACAATAACCCTTAATCCTTAATTCAATGAAATGATTTTAGATTCCAATGTTTACTTTTTATGGAATCAAAATGTTTATTCAGTATCATTAGTTCAGTGCCGTTTCTTTCAGCATATTTCTTAGTCTCCGGCTTTTAATTTTTTCAGTATCAAGTTTAAAAATGCCTCTTAGTGCTGAGGATGTTGCGCATGGTGTGGCACTTATTGATGATGGACGTTCCATTAGATATGCAGCTAATGCCATTGGAGTTCCATATGAAACTTTACGAGACGCCGTCAGGCGTTTTCGGGAAACTGGTTCTTACAATTCCCGGTTCTGGACGGCCTAGGGTAACAGAACTACGGGATGGCCGGTTTTTTACTTTGAGAATTTTACGAAACCGGCACCTTACCGTTGTTAAAGCGATTCACCAACTCGAAGAAGTTCGAGGTGTGCAAATTTCTGAACATACCGCTCGGAGAAGATTAAATGAGTATGGATTAATGGCTTTTCGTCCAGTAAGAGGACCAGAGTTGACCAGAACTCAGAGAGTAACAAGGCTGGCTTTTGCTCGAGAACTCAGCCATTGGACTATGGACGAATGGAGTGCTGTACTTTTTACAGATGAGTCAAGATTCGCTCTTCGATCTCCAGACGGGCGTGAAAGGGTGTGGAGAAGAAGAAACAAAAGATATGCAGCCTGTAATTTTTCCCAGAGCCAATCTTTCCAAAGTGGTTCCTTAATGGTGTGGGCTGGGATTTCAATGGAGCGCCGCACAGAATTGGTTGTTGTTCGTGGAGGGTCTTTGACGGCCATTCGCTATGTAGATGAGATTTTGGAACCGCATGTGTTGCCTATCCTCAACGAAATCGGCGATCGTTCTATTCTAATGCACGCCAACATGTCGCCCGCATAGTGCAGACGTTCCTTCATCAGAACAATATTGAGGTTTTAGCCTGGCCAGCACGTTCTCCAGATTCGAACCCCATTGAGTATTTATGGGATAACCTCGGAAGACGAATAAGAGCGCGTGCAACACTTCCTGATACACTGCAGGACCTTGAAAGGGCTCTTCGGAAGGAATGGGCTATGCTCCAGCAAAGGGACATTTCCCGACTGGTGGAAAGTATGCCGAGGCGTCTTCAAGAAGCAGTGAAGGCAAGAGGAGGAAACACGCGCTACTAAACGATGATTTAATTAATTTCTTTTAGAATAATAATGGTTCGTTTTTCAATTTTTTTTTCTCTAATCTTTCTTACCCAATCACATTTTGATTATTAAAGGTAAAAAAGATTATAAAATTCCATAAATACTAAGTATTATCTACAAATACCATGTATTATATACAAATACAACTTTTTTTACAAGTGGCAGAAATATTTTTACATGAAAACATGAAAAAATCAAGTGGGTGGAATTTTTTGCTTGTCAGTGTAACAACTAATATATCTAAAAAAAGGCAGATACAAAAGTGAAATGTTAAAATAAAGACAAATTAATAAATAAATAAAAATTATTTTTCTTAATTCAATTAAAGGTTAATAGTTTTAATGATTGAGAAAAAAGATCTTTCATTTTTATTCCTCAATTGTCTTTATTTTAAAAATAATTAAGTTTCGATTATAAATCTCTAACAGAACATTTTTAGTGAAAAACCAACAACTGTGTAAATCACACATGAAATGACAGACATTTATTTTATATAGTTTACAGTTTACTTAAGATATATCTTATTTTTCATTACTATTGCTGTTGTAAATAGTTATGAATAATATTTTGTTTTAACATTTTATTCAAAACTACCATTACCAAGTCTAGCCCCTGACACGACATTGTAGTCTGATCACTATTGGATCCAGGATTTAATTTAGGAGGGACTTCAGCATGAAAGATTTTTTTCATATATATATATATATATATATAACGATAATTAATTTGAAAAAAAAGAGAAAGAAATGAACTACCTATATGAAATGTTGTTTAAGTGATTCTGGAAGTCCTATTAAATGTAATTAGACGAACAATAATACTTTAAGAGATATTTTTTTTTAAAACATGATTATATTTTACCGTTTTGGGAGGTGTGCTTCAGCGGGAAAGCCAGTGACAGAAGTCTTCTTGTCCATCCCCTTATTTAATTTATGAATATGTTATATATTATACTTATTAACCAACAGTCCTATTGTCCATTAATTAATTAATTAATAAGTGGTAGGTTTATCGCAAAAAGACATTTCATTACTTTGAATAATTAATCCCTTTATGGAATCAGAAAATTGTGAGCTTGTTGTAACTGTATTCGAAATATATAAACGGATTTGTATCATTTCCATGCATTTACAGTGATTTTATATCGAAAGTAATGTCGAAATTCACAAAAATTATATTTAAAAATTAATATAAGTAGATCCTAGATAAAAAATACACTTCGTATATTTATAATAAACCGCGCATATATGTAAGTATCCATAAATCATATTTGTGAATATTAAAACAATAATGTGATTTGTTCTGTTGGATCTCAATATCCGCAGAAAATATGTATTATTAACAAACGAGAAACTAGTATTTTTAATTTTAATTAAAATTCCATTTGTGTTTGATTATTAATTTTCATAATAGATTCATTCCATTCAAATATTTTTTTAAACAATTTGATACTTGGCAATAGAGAAAACACCTTTTACTCAGGCCGTTGCGATTCTACTCATAAATACACTGGCTACGCCGTACCGGTGACTGTCACAGTTAGGCCTTATCAGTACTTCAGTGCTCCACCGTTCCGCTGTCACAGTTCTCTAGGTACATCCACCGTTCCGCTGTCACAGTTCTCCAGGTACAGCCACCGCTCCACCGTTCCGCTGTCACAGTTCTCCAGATATATCCACCGTTCCGCTGTCACAGTTCTCCAGGTACAGCCACCGTTCCGCTGTCACAGTTCTCCAGATATATCCACCGTTCCGCTGTCACAGTTCTCCAGGTACAGCCACCGCTCCACCGTTCCGCTGTCACAGTTCTCCAGATACATCCACCGTTCCGCTGTCACAGTTCTCCAGGTACAGCCACCGTTCCGCTGTCACAGTTCTCCAGGTACAGCCACCGTTCCGCTGTCACAGTTAGGCCGTATCGGTACTCCACTGCTCCACCGCTCCTCTGTCACAGTTCTCCAGGTACAGCCACCGCTCCACCGTTCCGCTGTCACAGTTCTCCAGATACATCCACCGTTCCGCTGTCACAGTTCTCCAGATACATCCACCGTTCCGCTGTCACAGTTCTCCAGGTACAGCCACCGTTCCGCTGTCACAGTTCTCCAGGTACAGCCACCGTTCCGCTGTCACAGTTCTCCAGGTACAGCCACCGCTCCACCGTTCCGCTGTCACAGTTCTCCAGGTACAGCCACCGCTCCACCGTTCCGCTGTCACAGTTCTCCAGATACATCCACCGTTCCGCTGTCACAGTTCTCCAGGTACAGCCACCGTTCCGCTGTCACAGTTAGGCCTTATCGGTACTCCACTGCTCCACCGCTCCTCTGTTACAGTTGGACAGTACCGGTACTCTGCCACTGGCACAGTCAGAGCGGAGCAGTGGGGCCGCTACTCTACCCGTGTCACTAACGATGAAAACATATTTTTATTTATTGTATAAATATTAAAATTCCCTACATATTTTTTACGAGCAATATTCATATATTGATTAGTTTAATATAAAAAAATATCTATAGAAAATTGACATAAAAAGTAAGTAAAATTAGATTTCATGGATTCATAAATTGATGATTTTATTAATTAATTTATAATGGATAAACATAATTAAATATAAAACCGTATAGCAAATTGATTGATTTATATTTCAAGAGAAAACAAATAAAGAACACAAATCTAAACATTAGGTAATACACCAATTGAAAAAAATAAATTGAAGTAAGAACAATCACTAAAAAACTAAAAGCATATATAAAGTTAGAAAATATACATACACCACTACTTCAAAAATATAATTTTTTTATATAAAGAAATATTAAATTTTAAGGGTATATATTATTCAACCTAATTAAAAAAATAGATAATAAATATGACAATATTTCCTGAATTAATGCAAATAATATCATATAGAACCTGAATAATGAAAAATTAAAAAGAGAAAAATATTAATATGAATTAAACAGTGGAAACATATAATATTCTTTATAAAAATAATTCTAGAATAATTATTTTAACTAAAATTAATGTTCCAAATAATTTAATTAACTTACTCTCACTTGGCGAAAATTTAAATTTAGATGTTATTTTCCGGATAAAACAATAATTTGATTTGTTATGTTGAACAAATCAAATTATTGTTTTAATATTCACAAGTATGATATATGTATACTTATATATATCGCAGGTTTATTGTAAATATACGAAGTGTATTTTTGATCTAGATTAATTTTTAAATATAATTTTTGTGAATTTCGACTTTACTTTTCGATATAAAATCACTGTAAATGCATGGAAATGACACAAATCCGTTTATATATTTCGAATACAGTTACAACAAGCTCAAAATTTTCTGATTCTATAAAGGGATTAATTATTCAAAGTAATGAAATATCTTTTTTGCGATAAACCTACTACTTATTAATTAATTAATGGACAATAGGACTGTTGGTTAATAAGTATAATATATAACATATTCATAAATTAAATTAGGGGATGGATAAAAATCTTTTGTCACTGGACCGGTAATTTGTCACTGCTCCAATGGTGTCACTGGAACAATTGGAGCAGTGACAGATTTTTCCTGGACAGTCACATCCCTACACCTAGGGATGGACGATAGTCGATAGTCTTAGTGACTATCGATAGTTCATATCCTCCCCTAAGACACAAATTATAAAAATAAATAAGTGCGTCCCTACTCGATTGTTTAGACATGATGGCGACGGACCTGGAAAAGTCAGGGAAATTTCAAAACTGGGAAAAGTCAGAGAAAAGTCAGGGAAAAAATGTCAGATTTTTTTTAGTTCGAAAATATTCGTTTTAAATTGGAATTAATATATAGTGGATGTCGGTTATCGTTGAGAGATCTGGTAAATTTCGTTGTTATAATGTATAATTGTTATTGACGAACCGACGATCTTTATATTTATATAGTTATACTAGCTTTACCCGGCCACGCGCTGCTCTGGCTTAGCTTGGCAAAATGAAGAAGAAAGAAAATAGAAAGCACCTATGAGTAGATTAGTAGCAAAGGACATCTATCATTTTTAAAAAGTTGGGAAACCAATTTGTCTGTAAATGGCTTCAATTTAAAATAACTTAAGGATTCGAACAGAAAAACATTTACATTTTTATTTTTTTACGTATATAAAATTATCGTAAGACAGAAGTACTATGCCAGAAATCTTCCCAGGAGTGTACGGAACAACTTCCCAAAGTTTCATGGCGATCGGTTGAATGGTTTAGTAATGCACTAAAGACAAACAGTCGGACTGACAGACATACATTCATTTTTATATATATATATATATATATATATATATATATATAGATAACTTGTATGTATCCACTTGTCACTGTCGATAACAGCTCTGGCGGTTATATTGGAATTAACAAGGGTAATAAACAAAATGGAGTTAAAACAGTACTTTTTAAAAAAGAAAAATACAACAATACTATTTATTCTCTGTAAGTATACATCTATTCGTTGGTTAAATGAAGTAGAACGTTGACAGCTTCACATAATTCATGCTTATGTAGAGTCGTAATATGCGAGTAAGCGATATTATTCAGATTCAGTATCTCAAAAAATGCCGTTGGACCGCTCGGACTTCAAAACGCATTTTGGTTCTTAATTTTGTAATGATTGTTATGCATATTGAAGTTTCTCATACCAACAGAATACATAAAAGCTATGTAATTTGTTTATAAATTCTAGTTCTGTTATAAAATAGTTAAATTACCTGAAAATAAAGCATTGAAAAGATAAAAAGCACTTAGTTTGAGAGCGGCAGGTACTACAAGGGAAATACGGCTTCGATTCTTTGAGTTTCAACAGCCGTTTAATCTTCTTAGATACTAACGTGTCTGTATCAGGTACATACGAAACGTAATGCTCTTTCAAATTAATTATATTGAATGTCTTCGATAAATGCATAGATTGGGGACGTCAAATTCAGATTCAGTATCTCAAAAAACCAAACAAAAAAAACCCACAGAGAAACCGACTATTTGAATTTTTTCTTCAACCAACTACCATCCGACTGCCCTAATGTGATGACTTTGACGTCGTTAGACAAGATGAATTATCTTTTACTAACATATTCTTTACGTCATATCAAAATTTCAGCCGTCAGTTCTTACGTTCAATTTCTCCTCGTTAATTTAAATTTTCGTTTAGAAAGCAACGGCTTTCAACTGACTGACCGAAGTTGTGTGTTCAAATGAGGTTTATCTATAATTAAAAATGGTTACTAGCTATAAGTTCTTCCGTTAAATAAAATTGTCGGCATCTCCTTGTCTAATAGCGGAATATTGAGAAGAACTGATTTTGTCGTGAGTAGATAGGTATTCGTTGTTTTTTGGATATAAATGATTCAGCATGTCCTCGATTAGATTCGCTTCTTCTTCTTTCTCTTCCACCCATTTGCCTTTCAGCGTAGGGGTGTTTCCAGCCATCTGTTCCATGTATCCCTGTTCCCGGCAATGTTCCTCCTCTCTTCCAGGGTCTTCCAATTCGTTCGAAATGACTAGCGTATGAGGTTCTTGGTCACTTCCTCGGTCTTATCCCCATCGGCCTCACCTCTAGAGTTTTAACTGGGTCTCTATGGTGGTCCATGCAGACATGCCCGTACCACTTCAGCTGTATTCTCTCCAGAGTTTCTAGCACGGGCGTATCTTTGGCTCCTCCCTGATTCTGTCATTTCGGACACATTCTCTCCGCGTTTTCTCCACAATTTTTCTAAGAAACTTCATTTCAGTAACGCGGCTTTGTAATCTCTCATTCAGGATCCAACACTCTGCTCCATAAAGAAGTACCTCTGCGGTAGAAATACAGACTTGAACAGATGGAGCTTTACATCCTGCTTATGGTATTGCATATTGTATAGTAGACGGAATTTGCTTTTGATATCCTGCTACAGAGACTTCCGAATCTACTTTTCCCAACCTATTGATTACCGTACCCAGATAGGAAAAGTCTGTCACCACCTCCATCACCTCTTTATTACAGACAATCCGGATATCCTCTCGAGTTCTGCCGACTTGAAGAATTTAGCTTTTTGGGGAATTGATGGTCATCCTCTTCCTTTTCAATTCTTCATTCCACTCTGCTACTGCCTGCTCAAGTCGCCCGGGGGAATCTGCAATTATAACGATGTCATCTGCAAATAGGAGAAACTGTACAACTACAGGAAGCAAGTTCCAATGGCCCATGTGCATTCGTGCTGTGCGTATTTTGCAAATGGAGACGATCTCATCCATATAAACAATGAAGAGAAGGGAGCTTAGGGAATCGCCTTGTTTCACTCCTTTTTCGCGACTAAATATTCCTGACTCTTTTCCATTCAGCCGTAAACACCTTTCGGCTCTTGATATGTCGATTCTATAGCCTTTAAAAGCTTTATTGGGATGTTTTTTGCCTTCAAGGATTCCCAAATTTCATTCCGAGGAACCGAATCGAATGCTGCCTTCAAGTCTAAGAAGGCGAGATAAATATTTCGGTCTCGGTCCCACGACTTCTCTATCACATTTTTAAGAGTAAAAATGTGATCATTTGTTTGTCTGTTGGGCCTAAAAGCACTTTCTTCTTCGAGGAGGTCAGGTTCCACCAGTGGTCTTAATCGTTTCTCTAGGATGGAGGTATATAGTTTATAGAGGACTGGAGACAGGCAGATAGGTCTGTAATTAGAGCAATCACTTTGGCTTCCTTTCTAATGTATGGGTATTATAACGTTGAATTTCCATTCCTTAGGGATTCTTTCATTGTCCCAAACTCTTTGGAAGAAGTTTTGAAGAGTTCCTACTAACTCTGGTCCACCATATTTAATAAATTCTGAAACTATGTTGTCTCGGCCTCCTGCTTTTCCTGTCTTCATATGCCTTCTCAACCTCCTCTTCTTCTATCGAGTAGTTTCCTTGGTCCTCTGGAAAGATTCTTCTTTCTACAAGAACATCGCTTGCTTCCTGGTTGCCTTCAAACTGTTTTGAGTAATACCTACGCCATACCTCCAGCTCTTCTTTTTCCTCCGACACTAACTCTCCCCTCTCATTCTTTATATTCCTAACTGGTTTGGCTTTTCTGCCTCTCAGAGCCTTGATTTTTCGCCAGAAGAGCTTAATATTTTCTCTATGATCAATATCAAGGGAGCGACCAAACTCTTCCCATGCTTTCCTCTTTGCTTCTCTTACAGCAACTTTTACTCTGTTCCTAGCAACTTTGTAGGGTTCATATTTGTCCCGGCTTCTTTCCATAAAGAACATTTTCCACAAGATCTTCTTTTCCTTTACAACACCTCTGAGTTCTTCACACCGTATACTTTATTCGCTGATTCCAATATGGCTGCTTTCAGCTTCAGCCATTATAATCCATTCGTTTCCGAATATCCTGCAGCTGTTTTATTTCAATTCTTTCA